CGCTGCTTTATAGTTTATGTCATGTCGATGAACCCTGATTGTTCTTAGGGGTGAAAACTACCCCTAATTGTCAAAAATTATAAAATAACATATTAAACCTGAATATGGGTAAAATTTGTTTTGAATTAATTAAATAATGATAGTTTCGTGCTTTTGAATAAAGTTCCATCATATTTCAACCCTTAAAAAGCGACCCTTGTTAGAGATTAATGTAAAAAAAGTAGTAATTCGAAAAAAATGATTTCGCCTTGGAACGATTTGCATAAAAATTTGGAATTAAGCTCAACTCACCCTCTGCTTTATAGTTTGTGTCATGCCGATGAACCCTGATTGTTCTTAGGGCGAGCGCCCACCAAAGTGACGTGGCAAGTAGCACGCGTCTAGCATGTTTCTTAAAATGTAACCAATGAAAAAGAATGATTAGAATGAATGACGTTACTGTCATTTTGGTGTACGCTGAATCATTCGTTTTCATTGGTTACATTTTAAGAAACATGCTGGACGCGTGCTACTTGCCACTTGCTACGTGCCACGCCACTTTGGTGGGCGCTCTCACTTAGCGTAATAGTAAAATAACATTACAAATCTTAAGATGAGTGAAATTTGGTTTGGATTAGTTAAATAGTGATTTTTTTATACTTTAAAATACAATTTCATACATTTTCAACCCTTAAAAATCAATTGTTATGAGTGCTATATGTGAAAACAATTTTTGGCCAAAATTTTGCAACTTTTCAACTTTTGAAAATCGCCCTTTACAACATTGCAGTTTTTATAAACTGCAATGTTGTAATTTTTAATAGATATAAATTGAAAAAAGTAGAATTAAATACAAACAAAATTATCCACATAAAAAGGCACCATATCGTTATGTGGGGTGCCAAATCCTTTATGTGAAAAACGGTAACTTTTCAGGAGAGCAAAAATACTGTTTTATTTTTATTCTACTACTCCTATGAAAAAAATTTTATTGCCGAAAATTAAATTATATATTTTTGCATATATCCAATGTAAATTTTTTACATATTGTTACGTAAAAATTAGTCATATTAAAATAAACCTGTAACTTGTTGTTTATTTAATAAATATGTTCTAGATTTGACCTGATGGTAGAAATTCCAGGTAATACATAATGAGTCTCCGACGAGTCGAACTTTCCGGAAGAGGCTGCTATAAAAACCCAGTTTGACCGCACAGCGATCGAGTTTGTTCCGGAAGCTCACTACCCGCTTCGAGAATAACGACTGTTTAGTATAAATATATATAAATTTTATGTAAAGAGTTAGTCAAAAAGAAGATCGCGGATATCGGGTTAAAATTGTATCGAACGCAAATAAATTAGTATAAAATAAAGACTTTTGATAAATTATCATGAGTTTTAATAAATTAGAATAAAGACAATAAATTAGGACTAATAAAAACATTATAATATAAACAAAAAACTAAGGCACCAGAATTTTTTTTCTCAAAACTGCACATAACGGATTTTTTCGGTATTACAAGTCTCCTGCATGTGATAGTACGCACATGAAAGGATTTGCACGTAGCTAAATTTTACGCTAAACTTGACCACTATGTGTTAAAAATCTACAAGAAAATTGCCTCAGATTAATTATAAAAAAACTACACAATGTTTTCGTAGCAAAAATTTAATCAGAACCAATTCCGAGATCAAAATCTTTATAATATAAAATCACTTAACGATAAAAATACTTATCTCCAGTTACACACAAAGCAGACACTATCAGTTTGGTATAAGAATTAAAGGTGAGTTAGACTGTCGTAGAAACCATGATAGTCAGAGTGCAGGCATGATAGTTTGTTTTAGTATCATGGAGTGCAGGTATTGCTTCAAAGTTGTGTGTTAATAATGTCATTCCCTCCGAATTTTACCATTGGTATTTGTCGTAACCAACATCACAATCTGCTGACAATCGGAATCCTGAACCAAGCATAAACAGTGAGAGTGAGTCGGATTCAGAAAAATAATTGTTTTTTTTTTTTTTGTTGTTTCGTTTCGGCGTTGAGAATCAATATTAATAAGTGCTAAACAGAAGATTGACATTTTTGTTATTTTTTAGATCTTGATATGAAATAAAGTCTCCTTATTTAGATTAATTAATTTTTGATTGTTTCCCTTTTTTGTCAGGCAAACGTAACTAAGTCCGTCAAAGTGATTAGTATTCTGTGGTCAAACCCATTTGGATAGAGATAGACAATATTTTTAGTATATTATAAATATCACTATCCCAAACATAACCATCAGTTAGGTATTAAAAGGGCTCCAAATTGGATATAATTAACCAAACGAAATTATGACAACAAATTTCAGTTAAAATTGTGTTAATCACACAACTACTAATTTGGACTTAATGATATTTGCCGGATCGTCGACGATATTTAAATATTGTCAAATATTAGAAACGTCAATATGACAAAACGCAACACGTAATACACATTCTTTTCACGACGTCTGGCCTGACTTTTAGGGGTGGCCTGAAAATGTGTTATATTTTAGCAAAATTTTGGAATACGTTTAAGTTGTAGAACAATTTTAACAATTGTTTTCGATACATATTTGAGTCCTCTACAAACAGTTTCCCATGACGTTTGGTGTAAAATAATTAGGGAAGCAGGAATTCAACAATTTAGAATTTCTCATTGAGTTTCCTATGGCCCGTTTGACGATTCACCACCATTTCACCACCCTGTATATAAAGATTACCCTATGAACGGCCCTTGCATAATCCGCATACACATATCCTAGTCGAATAGCATTGGTAGATTGGCAGCTAAGGCGAGACATAAATAAAAGAAGAAGACTCTGACAGTCTGACATGTTATTGACGGTTGACAGATGTCAATATATGCGTTCTTTGATTCTGTCTCCCTGAAATAAATTGAAATTTAATAATAAGCCAACGGTTTTTAGGTTTTTACAAACGTACATGTGTTGAGTTTTTGTGGATGTTATAGTAAAAAATTATAAATTAACCACTGACATGGCATATCAACATTTAATATCAAGTGATAATGAAGAGGACATTATTTCTGATAGTGACGAATATTCTAGAAGCACTTTTTTAAAGAGCATTATTTCTGATTCTGAAGATGAAGGTATAGCAAATTCTGCTCATTCAGGTACTTCTGCTGAAAAAGAAAGTACTTCAAATTCTACTGAGAGTGCGACTATTACTTGCAGGGGTAGGAGCTTAACAGAAAAATATAGTAATAAAAAAGAAAATAAAAACAACTATAGTAAAACTAAAAGGTAAATATTGAATGAGAAATGAGAAATTGTGAATATTATATACACCCAACTCTCAATAATAATTAAATAATTAACAATTCAATAAAATCCAGGACATACATTCTTAGTTTTCAAAATAAAATTCATAAAAAAGCCTTTTTTGACCAAGTCCAAAAAATTATAGGCAATAGGTTTTCTGGCTTGCTTCCCTACATTTATTCACCATCCAATTATCACGTTTCCAAGTGCCTGAATTTTGAGAATTTTAATTTTAAAAACCTTTACTTAGGTACTTTTATTATGGTTCTATGATGTATTCTTATTTGTTTACTGAAATGTCAACATTTGTTTTGGTATCTTTATTAAACATATTTTCTGATCACAGTAAGATTTATAAGTTATTATACTTAATAAATATGTGGAATATCAATACTAATAGTTCTTAATTGAATATTTTTTCTGTCCACAACAGTTGTTCCTTCAAAATTCATCCAAAATTTAATCCTAAAAAAATTATATAATTTAGAATACTGAAATTACATAAATGTCTCTTTAATTGTAATCAACTAATTATTCTTTTCTAGGTTACAAAATTCTATAACACTAAATCAGTCACAAGTGACTATGGAGGATTCAGAAGAAGAATGTGATTTACCTAGAATTAAAATTAGAACAGATTTTTTTCCGTCACTTGGTCAAAGAAAACTAAATGATTATTTGACAGAAAAAGAGTCAAAAAATAATATCAAAAATAAAAATATGAAAAAATTTATTATATCAAGTTCAGATTCAGATGAAGATGTGCAGAGAGTTACATTAACTAAAAGAAAATACATTATGAGTTCTGATTCTGAAGTAGGTACACCTGAAAAAGGTGCAGGTAATATATCTTCTAGATCAGAAAAATCTGACAACCTTGAAAATGTTTCAGAAAAAAGTTATTCATTAAAAATGAATGTAATCAGTTCTGATTCTGAAAACGAAATATTTAGAGAGACTAAGAAGAATATGTCCTTACATAGAATAGTTCCCAAAAATCAAATAGCACATAGTTCTGATTCTGAAATAGACACTTGCGAAAGAGATTTAGTAAATACATCTTCTAGATCTGAAAAAAACAGAACACCTAATAACGTTTTGGACAAAAATTCATCCAAAATTAATTTTACTTCACCATATTTAGATGCAGTTCATAATGAAGAAACTATTAAAACATCTGTCCTGTTAGAAAGATTGTCTGTATCTCAAAAGACAACCATGAGTCCTGCAAAATTGACAAAACTAGAATATCACATGATTTTAGGGGCAGACAATTACTTTGTAGCACTTTTATTGATGCACCAACATCCTGCAATACACCCATTAATAAGGAGACAGGCAAAAGGTTACTAAACAGATCAATTGATACTCCAAGAATTTTAAAACAAGATAAGAAAGAAACTGTTGAACCTAGGTAATTTTTATTTTTAGCATTAAAATTTTAACTTGTTTATAATTATAAGGATTATCTTCTGAAATATTAGTAAACATACAAGCAAAGAAATGCAACTTACTATTTTTATTGTGAATCAGCCAAAATTTTACTTTAAAATAAGTATCTGATGTTTTGATTTCTACTTAAGAAATCATTGTCAAAATACAAAACAGTTTATTTAACATTTCGATTTCTATTTTGGAAATCTTTCTCAAAATAAGTACAAAATCTTATGTGATGTTTCAATTTCCACTTCTGAAGTCTTTCTCAAAATACAAAACAAATAAAATGTTAAAATGATTTTAAAGTTAAATTGTGGCTAAAATTTTAAAGTTAAATTGTGGCTTATTCCTAATTCTTCCTCTTATAGTGCTGTGTACCTATAGTGTGTTGGCAAATTATCTTAAGGCCAGACATATGTCTTTTGCAGCATGCAAAAGATCGCCAGTGTTATTTATGCTTGTCCAGTTCTTTATGTTCCGTAGCCATGACATTTGTTTGTGACCTACTTCTCTCTTGCCTTCAATCTTTCCCTGGATGATTAGTTGAGGGATTGCGCATATTTTTTTCCTCTCAGAATATGGCTGAGGTATCCAATTTCTCGTACCTTGATCAAATTGAGTAGTTCTCTCTTAGTATTTGCCTTTCTTAAGACTTACTTGTTTCTCACCTTATCTGTCCATGGTATGCTGAACATTCTTCGCAACATCCACATTCTGATGGCCTCCAACTTATTAATGGAAGGTACTCTTAATGTCAATGTTTCCATGCCGTATAACAGTTTACATGCCATACATAGCATTTAACCATCCTGTAGCAGAAAAATGAAGGAAAGATTGTGGTTACATAGTAGCGGTTTATTATTTTTAATAAAAATAAATAAATGTATCATAGGAAACAAGAAAATAGCATCAGAACAATAAAATCAAATAAAGTTTATAAAAAATTTTTCATACTAAGAATCTATACGACAGTCCTCATATTTTAATAAAACCAAGATCATTGGACCAAAACCAAAAACCGGCAATGTATGATTCATATTTTTTGGTATGCTAGTTGTGATTTTTGGTATACCTGGTTCGGTACAATCATGGTGGTAGCATAGTTATGGTGATATGTAATGACTTACAACGTTATGAGAGTCAGTAGTTTTGTCACCAGTTATTATATCTTTTTATAAAATAATTATATGATTTTTATATCATTATACAACAGCTGTTACCAATATTTACATATTGATATGACATAATAAAACATATAAACATTGCAGAGTGATCCTATAATAAAGGATACTATTCTAGTCTCCCACATTATTTTGAACATAAAAATACATAAGAATTAAATAATGTAATTCTGACATCTTGACTTGGGACATCGAATTCTTTCAGATCTTCTTGATTGAGGACATTTAGGTACAGGTGGCTGCTGTGGTCAATTTTTAAGAGCAAACAATTCTTCAGCTGCAGGATCATTAATGGTGCCAGTTGATTATCATGTTCTATCTATAGTCTGACAATTTTCAATTAAAGGTGACTAATCTACCAATTGAACTAAACAGTAGCGGCAACCATGTATGGTCTATATATATTTACGTTCTTAGAAAGAATTAATGAGAGAAATATGATATTTTAGTTTATTCCTTAAACATTATATATGTGTTATCGGCGTTGTTGTTCTATTTATTGAAAAATTAAATGCTTATTTTATTAACAGTTTGATTTTTTTATTATAGTTTTGAGGCAAGTAAAGTAAATTTGAGGCGTTTATTCTTTATATAGTATTAACCCATTAACAGCCGCTAAATATGTAAAGAGAAATTTGATAATTAATTGATTAGATTGGATTGAAAACACATAAATTAAGACTAATTTACAACCAAGAAGATTTTTTCTCATTTTCAAGGAAAACAATACAATTTTTAATAAAGGAACATATTGTATCTTAAATGTAAATTAAATTTATGGTGAAAATTTTTCGACACATTCTGGGTGTAGATACATTCTACACCTTTTACATAAATAAATAGTATTACTTTTGCACATCCTACATTTTTGCACTATCATCTCTTTTTGTAATGTGGCCAATGTTGTTGAATCTGGTTTCATAATGGTAAAGCAATTTAGACTGACATCCATGTACTAAGTTTGGCATTGATGTAGCGATTTCTTCACTTTTATAAATTATAAATATCAATCTATGTCGGCTCATTCTTTCTCTTATAATGTTCACTACTTTATCCTCATCCTTTGACCAATGCATATCAACTTGAAGCAGAGTGTAAACCGGAAAATATACATATGCTAATAATTTTTTTTTTAAATCTGTTATTCATTTCAAAATCGTGACTGTTATTCTGGAATGCTCTCAATTACTTTTTTACCAAACAAGAGTGAAAAACTTCAATATATGACTTGCTTCCATGGTTGGCTTTTATATTGTCTAAATATCAATCAGACTGATGTTGAATTACTACTGAGCACAAATGAGTATCTGTTGTTACAACTTGAGACAAATTTGGAATTACTATTTTTGCTTTTAGTTTTTACTAAAAAAAAACTAATTTTTTTAGTTTTTTTCATTGGACTGGATAGTATGATTGTAAGGAAAAAACACAGTATGATTGTTACACCCGGTATAAAATGACACTGGCCTGTCTACCAACAATATTATTACATCGATATTCTTAAACTATAACAGTATATAACTATAACATACTAAAAAAATCACAAAAATTGGACAACAGGTTTAGGAAATTCGAGACATTTAACATGACCCATTGTTAAGGTGTTCCCTTAATTTTACCGGTGAGTGTATTTGCAATTAACACCGTGTCATCGGCGTACCTCAAATCAATATCGATGCCATTAATTTTGATACCCCGTTGAACACTATCCAATGCTTTATTGAAAACAAACTCCGAATATATGTTAAATATTAGTGGGGACAAAATGCAGCCTGTCTTACTCGCCTTCATATTTGAAGCTCTTCAGAATTATTTTGTTTACACTTTAAATTTAATTCGGTCAACAAGAGACTGTGGTCAGATGGAACATCATAACCAGGAGAAGTTTTTACAGATTTTACGGCATTTCTGTAGCGATCACGGATGGTTATGCAGTCAATTTGATTTCTTACAATATTACGAGGGGT